GTGGTGGTATAATAGGTTCTAAAATCAGTTAGTGTGAGGACTCCCACTTTGTTCTTCTTCAGTAATGCTTTACTTATGCATGGCCTCTTCCCTTTCCATATGAAGTTGGTGATTTGTTTCTCCATCTCCTTAAAAAATGTCGTTGGAATTTGGATCGGGATTGCATTGTGTCCCTTTTACAGTTATTTTTAAGAAATCTGTTTACAACCCAGAACACATATATGACATACTTTACTAAAATGGATAACTCATTTCAGTTCTTAAAATCCACTGCGAGGCATTAAAATCTCCCTTAGTATTACTCTTCAAGAAGAAAATTAAAGAGAAACACAACTTATAATTTTTTGTAATAAGAAATAAAGGATCTAATGATCAAAACATGCCACCTTAGTTTCCTGCCAACCAACTTTTTGTTTATTTGTTCCCTTGCTTGCTTTCGGTTACAAAAAAAAAAAAAAACTTGGACTTTTAATAAGCAGCAAAAATGCTTGGTTTGATTCTCCTCTCAAACTTTTGCTTAAAATAAAGGAGGAGTAAAATTACATAAGGGCTAGTAGCTCAGTGGAGAAGGAAGGCAAGCCAGGTCAAGGGCGAAGCACAGATAAGACACCCTACCCTGAATAATGAACATTGACTTTGGATGTGTTCTGGGTAGCTAAACTCAAGTTCCAGAGCTACCAGTCTTGTGGCCCATTCTAATGTGCTTAGCTTTATTCTCAACCTCATTTTATGTCCCTAAACTTTTTTTTTTTCTTTTACATTCTATGGCTCCTACTTCAATTTACACTCTCTTATATTTTGTGTATCCTTGAAGGCTGCCTTGTGTTCTTTCTGGAACAATGTTGTTATTGTTAGGTGTCATCGAGTCAGTTCTAACTCATAGTGACCCCATGTACAACAGGACAGAACACGACCTGGTCCTGTGCCATCCTCACAGTTATTGCTATGTTTGAGCCCATTGTTGCAAGGGCAGCCATAATAGGTTTTCCATGGATTTCACTATTCACAGTCATTGCTCCCAATCTCAGTTTTCCTGCAACAGGCAAAAAAAAAAAAAAGAGAGAGAGAGGGAGGGAGAGAATTTTAACAATTTTTTTTTTTAAGATTTATCATACTAGCTTTTCCTATGAGGAAGATACTGAATCTCACAATATATTTTTATTTTCTCTAATACATGATTAAAATGAATCATACAGAAAGCATTATGGAATTATAATTGTATGTGTTGTTAATCTTTTAATTGTTTATATTTAAAAAGAAAAACAGCTAAGAATAGGCAAAAAAAATCAGAAAATCAAAGCTACTTTGCCTCCCATTTGTTTTAACTTTGCCCTCATTTGACTGAGAGTTCTGTTCAAACCAAATCTAAAAACTAATACTCGTTGAATCAACGTATTGAGCAATCTTACAGAAGTATGCTTTTTAGAAATCATTTCACAGCAGATTTTTATAAAGTAACATTGAATTGTCTCTGCAACACATCCAACTAGATGAATCCATTGCTTTAAATTCTAGATAAACCTCTTTTAGCTTGGAAGAGACTATATGTATGTATTTTCCCTAGCCTAAGAGTCTAAATACCTAGAGCAAATGGACTGAACTATATATGTATTCCAGCTGTAACTTTTATGACTTTTGAAAACCATATAGACAAATAAAGCTTATAGGAACAGAGAACATTGATTGCATTCTTTCCAATATAACATCTAGCTTCCAAATAAGATTTTCAAGTATATATTAAGCTTTTATGATTAAAAAAAAAAACTTTTTTTCTTTAAGAATTTGCATATGTATGCACTTTAATAAGAAAATGAGAAATTGGTTTATAAACCAAACAGAAGTGTAACAGCAGTTATGGGCATAAGCTCTGGAACAAGAATGCCTGGGTTCCAGTTCCAGCTCTACCACTTACAAGCTATGTGATCTTGAACATGTCCTCAGTTTCTTCATCTTCAAAATGAGCATTTTAGTAGCACCTGCCTCTTTGGATGGAAACCCTGGTGGTGTAGTGGTTAAGAGCTATGGCTGCTAACCAAAAGGTCGGCAGTTTGAATCCACCAGGCGCTCCTTGGAAACTCTGTGGGGCATTTATTTCTACTCTGTCCTATAGGATCACTTTGAGTGGGAATCGACTCGACGGTGAGTTTGGTTTTTTGGGCTTTTTTTTTTTTTCGTTACCCCTTTGGATTGTTGTAACGATTACATGAGTTAATATGAGGAAAGCACTTAGAACAGTACTAGGCACATACAAGCAGCAGATAAGTGGCAATGGTATTACTATTATGGTCATAAAATGTTCTAATAATAAACTCATTTGAAAAGCTGTTGAAAGCTGTGGACCATCTCCTCAGGAAAAAAAGCTGCACACATGTACTGAGTTTTGCTTACCCTGTCAGGGGATGCATGGAGCCCCTGCGACACATCCTGGACATGCACCCGCCCTGCTGGTACAGTAGTTGAGTGCTGGGCTGCTAACCTAGAGGTTGGTGGTTCAAACACATGGGAGAAAGATGTGGCAGTCTGCTTCTGTAAAGATTTATGCCTTATGGGCGCAGCTCTACTCTGTCCTACAGGGTCACTATGAGTAGGAATCGACTCAATAGCAATGAATTTTTGGTTTTCTTGGTTGTCTGCCCAGGCTAGGATTCGGATTTCAGACTGAAATGAATCCTCTGCTGTAGAGGAACAATAGCTTTTAGTTTCCCTACATTTTGTATGAAGATCTGATTTTCACATAATTTAGGTCATTTATTCATGTTCATTCAGCTACTGAGGTAATAAAACTGAGACCTGAACCTAAAATGTTAGACTTTAAATTCAGCATCATCCCAGGACATTGTTCCAATACAATCAGAACTACCCGGCTGCCCTACCCCTAGTTGGGAGTTCTCTTGGTCCTCATGAATTTACTCCATTTACAGCATTACCAAGATAGCAACATCAGCTGAGGCCTGAATTGTACCCAAGTAAATGACATACACTTGAGGACAACAAGCAAGGCAATAATCAACCAAGAATCTATATACATTGCAAAGTTTCAGTTTAATATTTTTATTGCTGCTTCTCAATACTTCATGACCAGTATACTAGTTTGCATTTTATAAATAATGCTGATACTGTTCCACATTTTTGTCATCAATATTATATATTTTAAGAACTTAAATATCATTTAATAGGAAAGTTAATTTATGTAATTATTAAGAAGACTATTAGTATATGTAGGTAAGGAATGTGACTGAAATTTTATAACAGCACAAAGAATTATTATTTTATTATTAATTATATAAGTATACATAATTATTGTAGGAGAATACTGGAGTATGCAGGTGTTTACTCTTGTGTGTGTTTTGTAAAGTGTACAAAACAAAGTTGATTTTCTTATGGCAGATGGGGAAGATAATGCGTGGTCCATTCATGAAGTTTGTAGCACACGCCGCCTCCTTCACTATTTTTCTGGGACTGCTAGTCATGAATGCAGCTGACAGATTTGAAGGCACCAAACTCCTTCCTAATGAAACCAGCACAGATAATGCAAAACAGCTGTTTAGGATGAAAACATCCTCCTTCTCATGGATGGAGATGCTCATTATATCCTGGGTAATAGGTAAAGACTGATTTTCTGTCATCATTTCTTTTTGCAGCCTTAGGAGTTGGACTGAATGACACTGATTCTGCCACACATCAGTTATACAAATCTGTGCAGCGTGACCTAACGTGCCACACACCATGATTGTACTGTTAAAAGCAGTTGCCTTCTGTTTATGATCAGTGCCATAGTCTTCTCACATGCCACGTGCTTTTTGCATTTCCAAGAAAAACCCCAAAAGAAAACCAACAGGATAGTATTAATCAAGCCTCACCAGTGACAAAAAACCTGTCGTGTATGTTTTGGGAGAACTATGACGTCAAGCTTAAAAATGGCCACACGATTGTATATTGAGGTTTAATAGCAACTGCAGCTTAATAGCCACTCACATGTATTGAACATTTACCATGTACCAGGAATTGTTCAAAGTATTTTACTTGTATCAAATCATGTCATCTCTCTGTACCTCACTTTTCTAACATGAAACTTATAATAACATCTATTTGATAAGATTTATGTGAGGATTAAGTAACTTGCTTGAGATTTCCCAGGTGGTAAGTGAAAGAGAAGGAGTCCCTGGATGACAGAAACGGTTAAGCACTCGGCTGCTGGCCAAAAGGTTGACAGTTTGAACCCACCCAGGAGTGCCTCAGAAGACAGGCCTGGTGATCTGCTTCTGAAAGGTCACAAGCCTTGAAAACCATTTGGAGCAGTTCTACTCTGCTCAGCAGGGATCTCTGTGAGTCGGAATTGATCCAACAGCAACTAACAACAACAAAGTGAAAGAGAGGGAATTCAGTCTTAACTACTATACCATTTGTCTTTAGAATCCATCATACATATGCCTGACCACTAAATATAATGTAAATTAGAAAGATATTTTAATCAAATATTTATGAGGGAGGAAACTCAATAGTTAATAAATTCTTTTATTAAGTAATGATGATACTGAGGTGAATGAGACACAGTCCTTGCCCTCAGGGAAGCTAAGTCTAGACGGACAAATCAATAAGTAAATTAGTAATTAAAACTCAATGTGGCAAATCCTATTATTGAGGTGTTGTTGTTAGGGTTTTATGAGAACACAGAGATTGTGAGGTGGGATGTAGGACGGGCAATACCTTCAATCTGAGACTCTGAAGATAAGGAAAAGTTAACTAGACAGACTGCTTGGGGGAATAAGGACACTACAAGGCATGGGAACATTAGATGCCAAGATGTGGAACTATGGCAGCATCTGACACACTCGAAATATTGTAAGTGAGGCCCAGCTGGAGTGCAGGTGCATTTGTGGATATGGGTGATGGGCGATAAGGGTGGGGAGATGGCTGGTGGATGAGTTTAAGCTGTCGGTGGTACAATCAGATCACATTTTATAAATGTCACAGTGGTTGTGAAGTAAAGGGTGGCTTAGAGGAGCAGTGAGTCTGGAGGCCAAGAAACAATTGTAGTGATCCTCATGAGGAGGATGAACTCAAGGAATGGAGGAAGGGAAGAGACTGGAAAGCTGATTAAAAGATACACTCCAAAGATCTTGGTGATTTATCACATGGAAAGGAAGAAGAAGGAAAAGGGAGCCGTGGATTCTGGGTTGGATTACTAGGTGGGTGACAGCAATTTTCTGAGATGGAGAATACAGAAGGAAGATGAGGTTTGAGACTGGGGGAACAAAAAGCTGATAGTTAAGTTTGGGGTGTGATCGAAACGACCATGGGACTTCCAGGTGAAGATGGCCACTAAGTAGTAGAAAATACAAACTGTGGGAGATGTCTGGGCTATAAATACAGTTTCAGTAAAATCATCAGTCCCATATGGTACCTGAGGCCCTGACTATGCATGAGATTTCCTAGGGTGGAAATATGAAGAGTGTTCAAAGAAGAGGGCACAGGTAATCTTCATACAAAGCCTTTAATGTTCCATGAGCTTGCCCACCCCATCCCATCTGCACTCAGTTTTATATCACTTCCAGGGTAGGGGATGTCCTCTTGACTTCCCCACACTGGGGTGCAGTGGAGTGATCCATTGAAATATTATGAAGCACTATGCAAATTACCATATGATTATTTTCAATGGATGTGAGATACTTTAACAGCAATTCAGAGTTATTCAAAACTTGTGAATCACTCCATTTCCTGATAAGATTCTTAGGAAAATATGTAGAGTAACTTCAAATGTGAATTGCATCACCAAGGTAATGATAAACCTTAGGTAAGCTGAGAAGACTTTAATTTTCTACTATTTCTTTTCTAATTTAATTGATATTTACCTTATACCATAAAAGTATAATAAATAAATTACATTTTGCCTCTAATATTTGATTTAAAACGTGAACAAACAACCGTATGGGCTGTTGCCACTCAACACTGCCTTTATTTTATTAGACTATAACGCTATAAGTTAGGTTTTTTTTACGCATTAGAATATGCAAAGTGCGTAATACAGTACTTGACAAATAGGAAGTGTTCAATAAATTTCAGAAAATTATAATTATTTTATTAAGCTTTTCACTAAGAGTTTATATATTACTTTTATATAAAATTATTATTTCCTACTGAAGACACATTAAACAAGATATGACTCTTTTACAACCACAAGATGAAACTTTGAAAAATTAAATTTTGTATGAAGGGATTATATATAATTAATATTCATTTTATTCTTTATCATATTTTACTGTTCTCATACAGACATAATTTTAAATATAAACTTTAGAAGTTTTTCCTTTTTAACCTAGAAGCCTTCCTTGAAAATATTAAATTAACCTTTAATTTTATGAATAAGAATATTTTCCTTGGAACTATTGATCTGCTAACCTTTGTATTTGACTTCAGAGATTATCTCACAGTGTTTATTTAAAGGGAAAACAGTTAACAACTCAGAACAGATGGCCGATGCTTTTATAACATGTTAGACTCCTGATTCAATACTGACACTGGTAGTTTTTTTTCTTTTTCCTTTTTGAAATTATTCTTGAAAGAAAGTTGCTGTACTTTTTGGAAATATTAATAAAAAGTGGCCTACTTAGGTCAGTTGTTGGGTATATTATGTTGACTTCAAGAAAAAGACTCACATATCGGTCACAGAAAGCAAATCTAGTTTTTAGTTGACAGAGTTAAAAGGTTGAGTGATAGAATTGATAGGGAGATCTTGAGAAGGCAGGATGGTGAGCCCAAACCAAGGAGAGGAGGTATTGCAGGAACACAAGTACACTTAATTGCTGGAAGCAACTTCATGTGAAAGTGTCCTAGCGAGCACTTTTCACTTAATGCCCAATGTGAGCTACTGAGAAAGCAAATCCAATCCTGGTTGATTCTTCAACAAAAGGAGAGTACCACAGCCAAGGGCTTTAATTAGCCCACTGTTTTCTGCTCTGGCCAGATCACATCTGCAAGATTGTGTGTGGCTTGGGTGCTACATGCTGAACAGGAAATTAGCAAAATAGAGTGCATTCCAAGGGCAGCAACCAGAATAGTGAGTGGCCCTTCCATCAAAAAGCACATGAGGGGATTGGGGAAGTTTAGCCTGGAGTGGGACGTGGGGTGAGATCCAGGTATTGTGGAGCCTGAAGCTTATTTATTTGGCGGGCTCTCTTCAGAGAGAGACGCCCTGGTGGCGCAGTGGTTAAGAACTTGGCAGCTAACCAAAAGGTCGGCAGTTTGAATCCACCAGCTGCTCTGTGGAAATCATATGGGGCAGTTCTATTCTGTCCTGTAGGGTTGCTATGAGTCAGAATTGGCTTGACAGCAATGAATTTGGGTTTTTTTGGCTTTAGAGGAATACCAAACAGGGCTCTAGAAGTGGCCTTGCAAGCGAGGCATCCTAAGTTTAAGCTTCATTAGCCTCATGGTAAACCTGCATCTGCTGGAGAAGAATAAATAGATTTAATGAACACAATGTTTTTTTTTTTTCCCCCACAAGAAATTTAAAGGCAGAGAGAGCAGACTGATTCTCTACTGTGGAGAGCTTCCCAGCTTGCCAGACAAGTTGCACTCGATGGGGGATTTCAAACTATGCACAGCAGTGCCCTGGGTTCCTCAGAGGAAATAAGACCGAAACCCTTCCGGCAGAATAGGTCGCTGTGTCTATTTTATTTTTGAAGCTTCAATAAGGCATCACTTTTACCAAGAATTCTGCTTCTTAAAGAGAGAAAGAAAAAAAGGAGGAGGGGGCTGGGGAGGAAGAGGAAGCTTTGAAAGCCACTATATTAGTTTAAAGGTCTCCTTAATCCCTATGCTTCAGTTACTCTAAAGTATCCTTGTCTCTTTTTGAAGAGGGAGGACGGCAGGAACCCAGGGACCACCAAATGAAAGCTGCCTTCAGTGTTTTCATACCTTCTCTTAGTCTTTGTGTGTGTGCATGCCCACACACACACGCGTATACAGGATTTCCTGTTTTAAATTTGATCCATCCAAACATATATAAATTCAATCCTAGTTTAGTCTTAACTTGAAGTAATTCAAAGTAAGTAATGAATTGGTCTCTTAAAACCACGTCTTCTGTGCTTCACTGAATGCTCATTTTGAGAGAAGCACATTGTAAACTCTTGACAAGCAGGCACCATGGCGTTTTCTTAATCCCTAGAGGGCTCCACAGCCATTCGCATTGAAGGCAGGTTCCATAATAGATATTCATGACAAATGTGAGAATGTTTGGTTGCTGGGGGCAAGGGGAGAAGATTAATTTCAGCTAGGGGACTGTGAAACACTTCTTGATGGAGGTAGGCCTTGATCAGTTGTTGAAGTTTTTATTGTATTTTTCCAGGTGGCTCTAGAAGAAGGTAACTATGGCAGAATGTAGGGTGTCTTAAAGGTATTAGGGGTAAAGTAATTTTTTTTTAATTAAGTAACATTCCTCAAATTAAGAAAGGAAATATATGCCAATTATAGAATATTTAAAATAGTAAATATTCAACAAAGTTATTTTTTTCCAAGTGTCAGATGCTGTGTTGTGTACTTTACATTATGTTTTACTTAAGTCTCATAACAACCCTATGAAGTAGGTACAATTATTATCATCTCCGTTTTACAAATTAAGTTTTAGAATTTCTAAATACCTTGCCAGAGATTACAAAGCTAGTAAGTGGAGGATCCAGGTCTCAAATCTATGGTTGTCTGATGCTAAACATGTGCTCTTAAGCACTACAGTAAATGTTAGAAAGGATATGCCATATTGTCATGGATCAAATTGTTGCCCCCCAAAAATATTTGTTCACTTGGCTGGGTCATGATTCGCGGTATTGTATAGTTGTGTACCATTTTGTAATCTGATGTGATTTCCTTATGTGTTGTAAATTCAATCACTGTGATCTAATAAGATGGATTAGTAGCAGGTATACTGATGAGGTATACAAGATTGGATAGTGTCTTAAGCCAATCTCTTCTGAGATATAAAAGAGAGAATCAAGCAGAGACAAATGGGAACCTCACACCACCAAGAAAGCTGCGCTGGGAGCAGAGCGCATCGTTTGGACCTCAGGTTCCTGCGCTGAGATGCTCCCAGACCAAGGAAAGACTGATGACAATGACCTTCCTCTGGAGCTGACAGAGACAGAAGGCCTTTTCCTGGAGCTGATGCCCTGAATTTGGACTTGTAGCCTACTGGACTGTGAGAGAATAAACTTCTCCTTGTTAAAGCCATCCATTTGTGGTATTTCTTTAGAGCAGCACTAGCTTACTAAGACACATATTATTAATAATTCTCCCTGCAAGAGACAACTACTATTAATATGTTCCTGTAATTCCTTCTATTCTTTTACTATGCTTATTTTAAACATAAAGTCCTAGAAGAAATAACATTTTTCATTTTTCTTTTTTTTTTACTTAGCATTATGACATAAACATTTTCCAACACGTGTTAGCCCAGGTTTTCCAAGAAGCAGATGCAAAATGGGATTAAACATATTAAAATTTTATTAAGGGGAATGCTTGTGAGAGAAAATGGAGAGGGAGTCAAGGAAGACTGTGAGAGTGTCAGACTGAGATGCAAGTATGACCCCAAGGGAAGGAGAGAGGGAAGAAATGTTGGGTAGAAGCATCTCAGATCTCCACTCAATCTAAGGAAAGTTCCCCAAGGCCATCAGGAAGTCCTTAAGCCAAAGTCAGCCATCAGAGGAGTCTCATGGCTCCCAGGAACGGGTGAGCTCATCATTGGCTAGGAGCAGCCCGTGGGAAACATGAATTTGGGGCAAAAGCAGCAACGATTTTCAGAGTTCAGTAGCTGAGGCCCATGGTCAATTAAAATTCCTATAGTTGGAAGTCTGTGAGACACATTCTCATGGCCATCACATCATGGTAAATAACAAAATATTATATTAAATGACTTCATAATACTCCATCTGTGCAAGTCCCATGATTTCTTCTTCTGTTTTGGGTGCATATACATGGGTATATTGGCGTGTTTGGGTTATTACAAAGAATCCTAAAACACATATTTTAAATATATTTTTTGATGTCAAGAATTAATGGGTCAACAGAATATTTGTTGTTTTAAGGCTGTAGATGCATTTTGTCAAATTGCTTTCAGGAAATGCACTGAAGTTGCTGGACTGTGGGATTTAGGGGAATGTGGGAATTATGGTTGGATAGGCAGGTTAGAGCCACATTTTGAAGGGTTTTGAATGTTAAGCTGAGACCTTTCATATTTATTGTGTTTCATTGAATCACTAAGGCTGGAATGAAATTGCATTGCTATTTTAACCCCTTTCTGATGCAGGAATGATATGGGCTGAATGTAAAGAAATTTGGACTCAAGGCCCCAAAGAATACTTGTTTGAATTGTGGAATATGCTTGATTTTGGCATGTTAGCCATCTTTGCAGCGTCATTCATTGCAAGATTCATGGCATTTTGGCATGCTTCCAAAGCCCAGAGCATCATTGATGCAAATGATACTTTGAAGGACTTGGCCAAAGTTACATTGGGAGACAATGTGAAATACTACAATTTGGGTGAGTTTACAGTACACAGACGATACAAGTTAATAAAGAATGCAGAATTTTCTTATAAAGCAGATGTCAGTAGTAATTTGGTTACTGCTGAGTTTTCATGAAATTGTTGGTCAATTTCCAGCTTCTTCTAATTATCTGTATCTAAAGAAGAACGCTTTCTGATTCTTCCTTTGATTTCTGGCTAGAAACCTCTCTTAATTGCAAGAATTCTGTCTTTTATTTCTTGGATCAATTGGCTAACTTCCAATTGTCTAGAATTTATTTTTTTCCTCTTGTATGCTAAAAATAGTTCATAGTTGAGTACCATTTCCATTTAAGACATACAGACTATTTTGAAAGCAAGAAATTGTTATTGGGGACTTTGAGAGGACCCCCTAATGAATAACAGTACTATTTTCTATTCAGGCTTTGAACTAGTTGAGAAATAAAAAAGTTAATATAGAAGCCAGATTATCACCTAATATCGTAAAGTTCAGATTGGATGACATGGTTCCAAGAATATTAGCCAATGAGCTCACTTATACCATACCCCAGAATTAGGCAGATGTACCCTCTAATTTCTGGACAACAATGGATCAGACCACAGGGAATCAGGAGCAGCAAGTGCCTGACTAGGTGATACTCCTCCCTGGAGGACAAGATGCCCAGTTATTCATCCTAATTTAGAATCAGATAGGTCACTCCACCTCCCCAGGAGGAACGTGACTAAGGGATGGAAATGGGCTCAGTTATTTGCTTAGGGAAAATCTCTGCTCGTAGAAACCTGGAATGAAGGAAATATATTCCATTTGAATATTTATTTCAAACCATCTCATAAGAAATCAACTAACATTTAATTGCCACCTGTATGGGTTTGTCGGCTATATCACATAAGGGTTCCTATTTTATTATTGACTTTTAATGTTAATTTCGTTGTTTGTTGGAGCCCTGGTGGTGCAGTGGTTAAGCGCTCAGCTGCTAACTGAAAAGTTGGCAGTTTGAATCCACCATCCGCTCAGCTGGAGAAAGATGGGGCAATCTGCTCCCTTAAAGATTTACAGCCTAGGAAATCCTATGGGGCAGTTCTACTCTGTCATATAGGGAGAGTAGCTATGAGTTGGAATCAACTCGATGGCACACAACAACACAGTATTTATTTTAATATTTAATTTAAATTTTATTAAATATACAAAGTTTAAATTTTTCAAAGCTATTTATATTCGGTAATTATAGTCAACACATTATAAAAAAGGAAACTGCTTTTATTAGTTTTATCCTTTTTTAATTCCATTTCTCAGGAAATGAGCAAATACAGATTTGTAATCCTATTTTTTCTCTTTCTTGCACAGCTTTACATCTTTTTCCCTAATGGTTTCTTGATTGGTTTTTGATGCTCTAACATAATAATGCCAGAAAAATTCATAAATGAATAACTGTTTCATTTTTATGATAAAAATAAACTTGTTTGAATGACCAATAAAAATTACTTCTAGTATGTTTAAATAACTACAGCTAATCCACAAGCCCAAAATTACATGGACTGCCATTCTCTTTCATTATAGTTCATGATTAAATAATAAAAGCTACCATTTAATAGGTGCCAAGTACTTTCTAAACACTAAACATATGTTAACTTACTTAATTCTCATAACAAATGAGAGATATGGGGTAGGTATCTCGTTTTTTTAAAGATGGGAAAATGGAGCTAAGAGAGGTTAAGTAATTTGTGCAAGTTCGTCCAGTTGGTATCTATAAACTGGAATTTTTACAGATGTTTATCTGAGTCCATAGTCTGAGATCTTAACCATTATGCTATGCCCTTAATAGAAAATTGTCAGTAAACCAAAACGTTGTGTTCTCAATAAATTCAGAAGTTCAAATGTGCCTGACATGTAAGAAACCCTTAAATAACAGACTTTCATTACGAAACTGAACTGTTGATGTAATTATACTTATTTCCTAGAAAAGAAGTTATCTGAATAAATAACTTGAAAAAACTCACCAAAACCCTTTTGCTTCTTTTTTCCTAGCTAGGATAAAGTGGGACCCCTCTGATCCTCAAATCATATCTGAAGGTCTTTATGCAATTGCTGTGGTTTTAAGTTTCTCCAGAATAGCTTATATTTTACCAGCAAATGAAAGCTTTGGACCTCTACAGATATCACTTGGAAGAACAGTGAAAGACATCTTTAAGTTTATGGTCATATTTATCATGGTGTTTGTGGCCTTTATGATTGGAATGTTCAACCTCTACTCCTACTACCGTGGTGCAAAACAAAATGAAGCCTTTACAACGTATGTCCTCTCAGATGTTTTGATGATGGTGATTGCAGATTAATTATTAGTTTAACAGAGTTCATATATGTCCATGGGATAAATAATATTTTAGTAAAGACTTCATCTCTAGCTCTTTTTCAGAAAAATGAGATGATTTTAGAGTTAATGTAGAAAACTAAAAAAAAAACCCACTGCTGTCTCTTCTGACTCATAGTGACCCCATGGAGTTTCCAAGGCTGTAAATTTCTACAGAAGCAGACTGCCACATCTTTCTCCCATGGAGCCACTGGTGCTTTCAAACCACCGACCTTTCTGTTAGCAGTCCAGAGCTTTAACCACTGTGCCACAAGGGCTTCTGATATGTAGACCTCTTCCTAATACTAAATATTAACAGCTAACATTTTTAGAACCAGGTATTGTGGTAAATACTTCACGTGCATCTTTTTTTTATTCCCATTTCACGAAAAGAGGACACTTAAATTAAGAAAAGGTAAATAACCTGCCGAACGTTACATACCTAGTATGTGGAAGAGTGAGGACTTAAAATCTTGTCTACTGTCTCTAGCTCCTGTGCCCTTACCCCTGTGGTCTGCTGACTACTGGAGACTCCTGGGGCACTGGCTGTGAGAACAGCCCCTTTTCTAGTTCATTTTCTTGAATCTTATCATTGAGAACAGCCAAGTTATTCACAGTGACATGAGTTTTGATTTATGTTCACCACGGCACGTCAGTTTTTTATAAAGCGTGCTTGAAAGAGATTACTTAAATATTAGGCCTTCAATGTCACAATGAAAGCATCCACTGAATGAAGCGTAACCTATTGTTTTCCATATTCCTCTAAAGTACAGTTTGTCAGAGAAATGAAACCACCTGGGTTGAAAGCTTATGGGCTTAGCTTTGGTCAGTAATTGTGCCCAAAGCATTGCAATTCCTACCGAAGACACATCAGTGATTTGGGTAACATTTTCTACTTTTATATTGTCATTTTTTTTTTCTTAAGTCATAGACTGTTCTTATCTATTTATTAGATACAAGTGGAAGTATAAATGAGGGATCTCAGAAGTAAAGCCTGGTTACCTGCTTCTGAAAGGTCACAGCTTTGAAAGCCCAATGGATCAGTTCTACTCTGCACACATGGGGTCACCATGAGTCAGAATCAACTCTACAGCAACTAACAACAACAATAACAATAGATGAGGGAAACCTAAAATAACTCTAGCAAATTGTATTATTTTTATTAAGTAATACATTTAATACTTCCATTGCCAAAGTTATAGTTTATTTGAAGATTAATATCTGTGGTAATGCAGTTATGGTAATAGCATTTACTGAGTGCTTATTATGTGCCAGATATTGAGCTATTTACTTCATATGCACAATGTTATCTCATCGTTGCAACAATTCAGAAAAATTAAGTATTATTGTACTCATTTCACAGAGAAGAAAACTGAGGTTCAGAGAGTAAAGAATTATTTCAGTATACCTAGTAATTTGCAAAGATACTAAATAAGCTCAATTTATTTTGGTGCCATTGTAATTTATGTATACTTTATTTCCTTTCTTTCTTTTCTTTTTCCCCAGAGTTGAGGAGAGTTTTAAGACATTGTTCTGGGCAATATTTGGACTTTCTGAAGTGAAATCAGTGGTCATCAACTATAATCACAAATTCATTGAAAACATTGGTTATGTTCTTTATGGAGTCTATAATGTTACAATGGTCATTGTTTTGCTAAATATGTTAATTGCAATGATCAACAGTTCATTCCAGGAGATTGAGGTATAGTAACAAAATAAGGATCTCTATGCATTTTTTAACTATTCCAGGGATCTACTCAACAATGGGGTGAAAGTATGGACTACTTTCTGTCCTTTGTTTTTTCCCTGTTTTATCTGTTAGTTTGACCAGTAATATAGAAAGTTTTAACTTTTTGCTTCCAAATGCAACATTGATGGAGTATGCTGGGGTAGTAAGGCATATGAAGCAGAAATGTTGTCTGATATATTTAAAAATATGTATATCAGCATGAATTTTTATTTCATACAAAAAATTATTGCTTACAGAGTCCACTATTTTCCAAATCTTTTTTTGAACAGTGTTCAAAATTGACCCTTCCTCAGGTTGAGGGTGACAGTCTACATTTTTATTCCAGATATTTTGGCCTGTTTCCAAATTAATTGATAAGTGCTCTTTGGCAGAATAAAAGAATAATTTCTCACTGTGTTTTTTTAGAATGTAAGAAAATACATTTATATCTGTCAGTGTATTTATAAACATATACAAGTTTTGAGATCTGTAGTCTGTAAGTCTGGTAAAATTTTAGACAGATTTAGGAAAGAGGTTATGAGTAGAAACTTAACGTTTTGAAAAAATCTTGGAGTGGTCTTTGGGGCCTGAGAGTGCTAGCATCATTACTTCCATCTAGCCACACAATGTCAGAAGCATCTCAGTAGTTCTGTGTTTCCTTGCTAAACTGTCATGTGTGTTTGTACAGGATGATGCTGATGTGGAGTGGAAATTTGCAAGGGCCAAACTATGGTTTTCCTACTTTGAGGAGGGAAGAACTCTACCTGTTCCCTTCAACCTGGTGCCAAGCCCAAAGTCCCTATTTTATCTCTTACTGAAGCTTAAAAAATGGATTTCTGAACTGTTCCAGGGTCATAAAAAAGTTTTCCAGGAGGATGCAGAGATGAACAAGGTAATTTGACTTTATAATTTATAGTTTTAAATGTATCTGCTATAACCACTGTGCCACATCCCTTTAAAAACATAGGCAGTTCGTGATGACACATCCATCTATTCCCAAATGCCATCACCAGCTCAGCATGATCTCTTGCTTGTGTCTGTTAATGAACACATTGGACATTTCCTCTTTAAAAGAATATAAAATTCATGAAATAAACTAAAATAATTTATTATACAGGTATATCTGGGGTGGTACTGAAACGGATAGCTCTTCTAGGCCCCGTTTTTGCTGTTAGAGCTACATGTCCCTCACTTCACCTTCAATTTATACAGCTAGGTTAAGCATCAGTACCTGGTTTGATTCAGAGGAACTTAACAGACTCTTAAGTAACTTTTACATTGAAATATTCTAAAGTCTAAAGGTTCTAAAGTCTCCTGTATTGCCCATAGTAATATAGGAGAGACCAGGCCTGTCAGTAGTTCAAGAAAGAAAGATCTAAGGGTACTGATTGGAAACAATAAACACATGGGCCAATGCTAGCTCAAGAAGCAATAAAAGAGGCATAGTGCTTAGATGAGGGGGTGGGATGATCGCAGTATGCTTGGAAATGTTTAGAGCACAAGTGGAATGCTATGTATAACTGGGGGAGTAAGTAGGCCTGGTGGCACAATGGTGGAGAGTTCAGTTGCTAACTGAAAGGTTGGCGGTTCGAACCCACCCAGAGGCTTTGTAGGAGAAAAACCTGGCCATCTGCTCCTGTAAAGATTACAGCCTACAAAACCTTATGGGGCAGTTCAACTTTGTCACATGGGGTCACTTTGAGTCGGTATCCACTCGACGGCACTTAACAACAACTCTGTGCAAAGAACTGTGCCAAGCAGAACACTGCATCCTGGAAGAGCGTTGAGATACTAGATGCATCCAGTGAAGGAGGACCAGGGTTCGGACAGACTGGACATAGTGTCCTATGAAGAGGAACTGAAGGAGCTGGCTGTTTTGTCTCAAGAAGAAAGACTGAAGGGAAACATGATGGCTATCTTTAGAATTCCCACCTTTGACTAGGGAATACACTTGTTTTGGGTTCCTTCAAAAATAGGAAGAGAGACAATGGGCAACAGTTATAAATAGTTCAATTCTAGTCCTATGTGAGAACAAACTTGTAACAACAAGGTCTGCCTAACAGAGTGGTTGGCTGCCTTAAAAAGTAGTGAGATCCACATCATTGCAGGTAATCAGACAAATGCTAGATAGATGACTGACATTAGGGAATTTTAGAAGATCTTCCTAAATTAGGCAGGAAGTTGGACTTAATGATTGTAAAGATTTCTTGTAATTCTAAGACTCTATCATTCAATAAAAGGGAAACATGTTCTAATTCCTGCTCTGTTTGCCACTCATTACTTAGGGTCCTGAAGTATGTAACAAACCCTCAGAGCTGTGGTTTCTCAACTGTAATATAGGAATAACATCATAAAGATCAAACTAAGTAAATATGTAAAAGTGCTTTGAGAATTCTAAAACTCTCTTTAAATGTAGTTATTACTAGGATTATTTTATGTAGGAATTTTGGGAAAATATTCTATCTGTAGCATTATTCCAGATGTATAATTTATAGAACTCAGTGAGTTGAGTGGCAAAAAGTTCCTTCACTTTACTTAATGTAACTAAGTGTGTAGTTTACAAGTCCAATTAGAATTGCAGCCTAAGAGAACCCTGTCCAGAGAAAATGTCCAAGAGCTTGCCAAAGGGAAGAACCCAATAAGAATATGTTTCTCTCATTAAAACTCACTGGGGAATATGGAATGAAGAAAAAAATAGTTTTGTAATTAAAAATGACTATGCAGCTGTACTCATTTTATTATCTATCTTTAAAAGAGAAATGAAGAGAAGAAATTTGGAATTTTAGGAAGTCACGAAGACCTTTCAAAATTGTCATTTGACAAAAGACAGGTAAGATAACATTTGAAAATATGAGGTAATGCATGTCATCAGGCTTACCTTTTCAGGGAAAGGGAAAAACGTTCAGAAGCAATTTAAAGAAATAGATAGTAGACACGTTAAAGGATTTAACTATTTTAACAACTCTCAAAGAATCTGTTACTGAGAGGTGGAAATAAGCACATGTCCAATTAATCAGCAAAAAAGAATCACAACTACACTTAATACATATATTAAACACGTATTATAGATACTTATGGGTGATGGAACATTAAGAATAGTGACATAAAGAAGGAAAAATAAAGAGAAACCCATCAGGGACCCTGATTAACCTAGCTCTCTGCAGCAGTGCCTCCTTATTTGTCAGTAATCAAGAAGCTGTCGAAAGGACACCACAGAAATGTAATGGCTAATTTTGATTGGCTCAGTTCTGAATGAACAGTGTGTCCTAGAGATGGGCCACCTCCCTAGTTTGGAGTAGCAAAATCCTCAGTGATGAAGATATTTGCTTCCTTTCTTGTAACATGTGCATAGTAGGGGTGCAGTAAATGCTTGTGGCTAAACGGAAGTTATAAATGAATGAATTAGGAGGAGGGCAATATATCACGTAGGATTTGCTTTGTATCCAGCTGCACATAATAGAAAGCCCACATCATGGGGCCTTTAATCAGACAGTTGTTTTTTCCGCCTCTCATTTAAAAATTGATCCAGGCTTAAGCAATCCAGCACTGCTGTAGGGGTGAATTTCTGTGATTCTTCTGGATTTGTTTTGTCATAGTCAGACAAGATGACAGCTTCACCTCCAGCCACCATGCCCATTTTCAGGCATGAAGATGGAATAAGGGCAAACACAGAAAAGCCACCCCTGGTGTAGGGCATCGTGAGTAGAACACTTAGGAAATCCCAGAGAAATTAAGTTCAAATATTTTATAAGCAATTTTTATCAATATGTAATGCATGTCCCTGTGTGTTCTACTTAGATACTGTCTCATTAAGACTTTTTACTCATTTGTGGGATGTGGACAATAATAGTTGTAACATCCAAGGGTTGTTGTGAATCTTAGTTTATACATGTTCAGCTCTTACAACAGTACTTGGCACCTAGGAGGTAAATAATAAATCTTTACTATTTCTGTCGTTATTACTGGAGCCCTGGTGGCACAGTGGTTAAGAGCTCAGGCTGCTAACCAAAAGGTCAGCAATTTGAATCCACCAGCCGCTCCTTGGAAACCCTATGGGTTGGTTCTACTCTGTTCTGTAGGGTTGCTATGAGTTGGAATCAACAACAACAGGTTACAGGTTATTGTTATTACTAGAGAGCAGGAAGAGTGAATACAACCACACACAATTTGGTAGTGATAGTAATCTGGTGAGGATAGAGAAATAATACCAGGCCAAAAAGATCTGGTGAAATAATACAAATTGAAAATGAAAGAATGGATATATCTGGGAAAAAATTGAAATAAATGAATTAGTGAGTGAAAGAGACTATCACAGTGATAGAAAATAAGGAGTCCTTGGGTGGCGCAAATGGTTAAGTGCTGGCCTAATAACTGAAAGGTTGGCAGTTCGAATCTACCCAGAGGTGCCTTGAAAGAAAGGCCTGGCAATCTACTTCCAAAAGATCACAGCCATTGAAAACCCTATGGAGCAGTTCTACTCTGACACACATGGGTTTGTCATGAGTTGGCATCAACTCGACAGCAACTGGTTTGGTTTTGAAAATCAGCCTGTGTTAATTGGAGTGGCAACAAATGAGCATTTATGTGTGGTAGCAACACACACACACATGAATTACCTTGGTATTCCTACCACTTTCCAGCTATGAACTTAGGCAGATCGTTGTCTTTCTTAAGCCTCGTTTCCTTGTGTAGCTACTATAGCCTCAAGGAGTTGGTAAAGTAAATGAAATAAAATACCTAGCAAGCCCTATGGTAACCAGTTGCCATTGAGTCGATTCCAACTCATAGCAACTCTATAGGACAGAGTAGAACTGCCCCATAGTGGTTGCAAGGAGCAGCTGGTGATTCAAACTGCTGACCTTTTGATTAGCAGCTGAGCTCTTAACCACTGTACCAACAGGGCCCCAAGGCGCATGGTAGGTAGTATATTTTGCTGTTTGCATGTCAGTTTCTTCTTCCTATTCCTCTTCCTGAGATGATATGAGATAATATTTTTAGGGTATGTTAACCATTCCCCCATACCAAGAGGAGGCAAACTAACTGATGAAAAATATGGACATCTGTAAGGAAGAACCCATGTCTTAGTTCATCTCTGATTCTTGTTGTTGTTACTAGTTGCCATCAAGCCGATTCCTACTCATGACAACTGTATCTGTGCAGAGTAGAACTGCACTCCATAGGGTTTTCAAGGCTGTGACCTTTTAGAAACAGATTGCCAGGCCTTGCTTCCAAGGTGCCTCTGGGTGGGTTTGAACCACTAATCTTTCAGCTAGTAGTCCAGTGCTTAACCATTTACACCATCCAGGGACTCCTCTGATCCTTAATGGTTCCATATCATTGGTGTCTGAAATGAAGAAAGCAGGAATGGGGATAGAAGGACAAGAGGATAGACAGGAGAATGAAGGGAGGAAAGTTACTGAAAAAATGTGAATAACTTGGCTTGTCTCCAGAAAGTACTCATCTCAAAAGATTTTAGAATTTGTCAGTTGTTTTAATAAATTGTTTTTATGTGAGCTAAATTAGCCATGTGTTTTAGATAAGAAAACTGGAGCAAGGTGAAGTAATTTAATGATTTTCAATTTTTTTCTAGTAAGTGGATATATTCAGAATTGAATCCAACTATCCCTGGTGACACATTGCTTGATCTCAGTCACTTGTGAAATGTGTATCAAGGAGTATATTATTAAAACGAGTTACCATTGAGTTGATTCTGATTCATGGAGAGCTCATGTGTGTCAGAGTAGAACTGCGCTTCATAGGGTTTTCAATAACTGATTTTTCAGAAGTAGATCACCAGACTTTTCTTCTGAGGTGCCTCTGGCTGTACTCAAACTTCCAGCCTTTCAGTTAGCATCTGAGTGTATTAACTGTCTGCAGGATTCCAATATATAATGAATAATAGTATAATAAGAGATAAAAATTTGTGAATGATGTAGTCCATATTGCAAGTTTAACTATGTATCTATGTACTTTAAGCATTGCAATGCTTACTTAAAGGAGAAAGAAAGGGGTGGAGTTTCAGCTAGTAATATTACAAGTATAATAATATATTAATATAAATAAATTAATAATAAAATAATTATGCCCATGAGAGTTTTGTCATTACCATTATTGGTAATATGGTCCACCATGTTGTCTTACAGATAAGGGGTTAAGAAGGATTAGTCTCACGAATAACACTTTCCCTGTGCAAAACCTAAACACACATAATATCACAAATAACTTGGGGTTGGTGTATACAAACAGTTGATTCTTACTTGAATAATTTAAGGGAAGGCCCCTTCCCTTTCCACCTATTTCCCATTTTTGATCTACAAAATATCTGATACAGCAAAACCTTTCTATAATTTTGCAAAAAGAATATATTAAATTCAGTGTATTTTGTCAATATTTACTGCTTTTCTTTCCTTATCAGGACTTTATTTTGGAAAATGATATAGTAAGAGCAGTGAACTAAGTACTCAGAAAATGGGGAGCTCATCTCATCTCTGCCCCTTGGGAAATTCGTTCAATTCTCTAAACCTCATCTTCTTCATCTATAAAATACCCATTGTTGACAAGTCGGTTCTGACTCATAGAAACCCTATAGGACAGAGTAGAGCTACCTCATAGAGTTTACAAGGCTGTGATCTTTATACAAGTAGACTGCCACATCTTTCTCCTGTGGAGCGGCTGGTGGGCTCAAACCACTGACCTTTTGTTAGCAGCCAAGTGCTTAACCATCACTATAAAATAGGGATGATCAAGTTGTACAACCTATCAGACAAGATTGTGGGGAAGATTAAACAGGTGCTTTGTAAATTACAAATGCTATACAAATGTAAAATACTTGTAATTATAGAGAAGTGGGTGTTTTTATTATTTGGTTATAAATAACTTAATGAAAATTTTGCAAAAATAGATTAGTGTCAATGGATTTATATATTTTTCCAGTAAGAAAACACTTGTGCAGAAAATCTGATAAATACATAACAACAATATATCATTGGAAAAATCTGAGAAAGTTCCAAGGAAGATCAAAATTCTTTTTTCCTTGTGATAGAAACTATAGTATGTCTTGAATCCAATAATTTTGTTTTATTTGGAGTTTCTCTAAAAATGTAGAATCTTAAATTTTGTTTTAATTATCCACAAAATGAGTATCTTTTAAATGAGACTTAGATCACCTTACACTTTCCAATAGCACATATTTTAATTCTACATTAAAACAAACTCCAGGAGCAATATTAAGTCTGCAGTATTTGACTCCAGTTGTGGAATTTGGAGTAAATGTTGATTCAAATGTCAATTTAAGAATCTAGAGACCCATTTTAGTATAGTTGTATGCTGTGACAGTCATGGAGGTATGCCGCTCCTATTTCTTTTCAAGCAGAGCCTGCTCCAAGGAGTGCAGTCAGCTGACAGCCTCCAGCTGTAGCCCCTCATGGATTCCCCCTTAAGTTATCAAGCCATAGCCATGCTCTTCCAGGCGGCCCCCGGTGAGTACCTGAATTGGCAGGATCGTGGGGCCTGGCTATTTCTTGCCAGCACAGGACTCCTCTGTAGATGACAATGTTTGTGCTGAGCTCCCCACTGGACTGGCTGACTTCTCATACCACCTTCTTTTCCCCCTCTCCTTTCACAGCTGAGTGGGACCCTCAGAGTCTGGAGGCTTTCTCTGCCTTTTCCTGCTCCACTCCCTGTTATTTTTCATAGGCACAGTCCCCAATTCATCTCTTATACTTCTAACTCTGTCTCGCCATCTGATTTCTGGAGGACCAAGCCAACACACATATCTATTTTCCCTTGCAAGGTGAGCTTGTAGTGAACAAAACTTGAGGCACATTTCAT